TTTAGGGTTTAGGGTTTAGGGTTTAGGGTTTAGGGTTTAGGGTTTAGGGTTTAGGGCGTAGGATCCACAGACTGGCTCTTCCTGACCTCTTCTCCGAGTCCAGAGGTCCAATCCGCAAACTTGGTGGTCAAAGTGCGTTTAGGGTTTGTAAGGTTTAGGGTTTAGGGTTTAGGGTTTAGGGTTTAGGGTTTAGGGTTTAGGGTTTAGGGTTTAGGGTTTAGGGTTTAGGGTTTAGGGCTTCGGGTTTGTAGGGTTTGTGGGGTTTGTGGGGTTTGTAGGGTTTGTAGGGTTTGTAGGGTTTGTAGGGTTTGTAGGGTTTGTAGGGTTTAAGGTTGAGGGTCCTTGCTTGCGCCCTCAGCGGAAACCCCTGGGGACCACCAACTTTTGGGAGGGTTCATCAAAATACCTGTTCCCAAAACTACCCGATATTTCCAAAATGAACCGATGGGAATCCTGGAATGAGTTCGACCTTTAGATCAACCAACTTTTCGGAAGGTGCGCGACAATTGGGTTAAAATGAGAGGAGACCCCGTTGCCGTCGCCATTCGGCGCCAACGAGTTCGCTTCTTCCTCTCCAACTGCAGCAATTTAACAACCAAAGGCACCGGGACTGACCTACTGAGCCTGAGGGGTTTCGGGTTTAGGGTTTTTGAGCTAAGAGAAGCTTGAGGCTAGCCCAAGCCGCTTCGCAGGATTTTGGGAACCAAGATGCCCTAAACCCTAGCGAACTCGCAACCCTGAACCTGCACCACCCCTGCCCCCCCCCCCCCCCTCTCCCCCACCCAAAACAAAAGCAGGAAGCGCCTGCAAACAAAGCAACTAAACAACTCGGAGACCTAAACCCTAAGCCCAGAAACCCTAAAACCCTAAACCCTAAAACCCTAAAACCCCAAAAACCTAAAACCCTAAAACCCTAAACCCTAAAACCCTAAACCCTAAACCCTAAACCCGAAACCCTAAACCCTAACCCGAAACCCTAAACCCTAAACCCTAAGCCCGAATTCCTGAGTTACGGGTCATCTCCCGGCTGTCTACGCTTGCAGGGCCAACAAGCCAGCAGCTGGACCACGACTCAGTTGCAGCTTGGGCTTTGGTGTTGCGCTTAGGGTTTAGGGTTTAGGGTTTAGGGTTTAGGGTTTAGGGTTTAGGGTTGAGGGTTTAGGGTTTAGGGTTTAGGGCTTAGGGCGCGAGTTTGGGTGGGGTGCGGCTCGGGCGTACTCATTGTTGAAACTTCACTCCACACGTGGGTGTCTACTTTCGGGCCTTTCAGTCCAACCAAGGCGTTGGGGTCAAGGGTTCAGGGTTTAGCTTAGTTCCGTAGGCCCTCAAGCTGTGTGGGATCTTCTGGCGTCTTTCGGCCATAGGTTCCCCAGCCCCCGAAAGCATTGGCTTGCATGGATTTACCAAAAAAAACCCTAAACCCTAAACCCCTAAAAAGGAGGGAACAGACAAGGGGAGGGGGGGGGGGGGGTGGGTGTTGTAAACCCTATAGCACCTTAACCGAACTTCATAACCCTGCTCGAAGGAGGCTGCCGAGTAACGTAAGAACCGAACCCTGAACCCAACCCTAAACCCTAAACCCTAAGCCCTAAACCCTAACCCTAAACCCTAAACCCTAAACCCTAAACCCTAAACCCTAAACCCTAAACCCTAAACCCTAAACCCTAAACCCTAAACCCTAAACACCCCCTTTACAAGAAGGGCATCCTGCAGAAAGAGAACAAGGGATTCCTCCACGCCAGGGTGCTGAAGGCAATGATGGCCCAAGCGACGGAGGCCGCGGGGCTTTCACTAAACACCTCGGTTTAGGGTTTAGGGTTTAGGGTTGAGGGTTGAGGGTTTACGGTTGAGGGTCAGAGCTTTCCCGTTTGTTTTGTTTTGTTCTTCTATGTTTTTTTTTAGGGGGCGGGGGGGAGCGGGCGGGTCTAGGGATGTTCAGATATTGGAGGTAGGGTTTGAGGTCTAGGGTTTGGGTTGGTTCTGAGTAAGACAATGTGCTCATAAACAAAAGAAATCTCATGAAATAGCAAGCCTTCAAGTCTTCAAAAGAAAACCGAAATGCATAGTCATAAACAGCATATAGTCAAATATTCTAAAACAAAACATGATAACACGCTTTTGTATCATTATAATGTCAAACCCTAGACGTCTTAAACCCTGGAAGCTTCAACCTCCGAAAAACCCTGAAGCCCTACCCTAAACCCTAAACCCTAAACCCTAAACCCTAAACCCTATACCCTAAACCCTAAACCCTAAACCCTAAACCCCTAGACTCTAAAGCCCTAGAACCCGAAAACCCTTGGATAGTAGTATTAACACGAATAATACTGCGAATGACATTGTTATTGTAGTAACAATAATAAGAAGAAGAAACCCAAGAAGGCACCCATAATTTCGGAAACCCCTCCCACAAAGAACCTTCGACCACCGCGGAGCCCAACAGCTGACCCCAAGCTAGGGTTTAGGGTTTAGGGTTTAGGGTTTAGGGTTTAGGGTTTAGGGTTTAGGGTTTAGGGGTTAGGGTTTAGGGTTTAGGGTGTAGGGTTTAGGGTTTAGGGTTTAGGGTTTAGGGTTTAGGGGTTAGGGGTTAGGGGTTTAGGGTTTAGGGTTTAGGGTTTAGGGTTTAGGGTTTAGGGTTTAGGGTTTAGGGTTTAGGGTTTAGGGTTACCAAGTTAGGGTTTAGTGTCTAGGGCTTGGGGCTCTAGGGTTTAGAGTTCGAGGTTAGGGCTCAGGGGTTTCTGCGGGATTCAAGCAGACAGCAAGACGTCCGGCTGAGGAATTCGGGGGTTTGCCCTAAACCCTAAACCCTAAACCCTAAACCCTAAACCCTAAACCCTAAATCCTAAACCCTAAACCCTAAACCCTAAACCTTGGTGGCCAACTGAAGTCTGGAGCACGCAAAGCAAGCAGGTCGCGCAGGCCTTCCCTAAACCCGAAACCCGAAGCCCTAAGCGCGTACTAAATCTTTAAACCCTACTCCCTACCTTAACCCCTAAGAGCCTAGGGTTTAGGGTTTAGGGTTTAGGGTTTAGGGTTTCAGGTTTAGGGTTCGGCGACTTTATGCTCTAACCCAGGGCCTGGTACGCGAGGAAGGAGCCACCCACAAAGACGCCCACGCAAAGCCTCAGGAGTCAGTGAGTCGGTTTAGGGTGCGGGGGTTTCGGGACCCTGAACCCTAAACCCTAACCCTAAACCCAAAACCCTAAACCCTAAACCTCCCTAAGTTGGTAATTCGTGGGCACTTGCCTGATTTGACACACTTCGTCGCAAGGTTTTAAGGTTCTTGGGTTCAGGGCCTAAGCTTTTAAGGTTCCTGGACACAGGATGTAGGGTTCACCCTAAACCCTAAATCCTAAACCCTAAACCCTAAACCCTAAACTCTACAACCCTACAACCCTACAACCCTACAACCTTAAAACCCTAAACCCTAAGCCCTAAGCCCTAAACCCTAAACCCTAAACCCTAAACCCTGAACCCTAACCCTAAACCTAAACCCAGATTCTTGAGTCTTGGGGGTTGATCAACGTCTGCATGCAGCCTTAGGCATCTTCGAGTCGGACCTAGTATCAACGGGAGCAGAGGGTGCAGGGGTGTAGGGCCCTATCGTGGGAACCCCGATTCTTGCGTTTGGGGTTTGGGGTTTGGGGTTTGGGGTTTAGGGCTAGGGCTTCGGGTTTAGGGTTCAGGGGGTTTGGGGGAGGTTTTGTATGCTCCAACCTACGCCCACACCCCCCACCCCCCCCCCCCCCCCCCCCCCCCCAAAGCCCTGAAACCGAAGCCTACAGCCCTAAACCCCGAAGAAGCCCTTCAAACCCTGAAACCAACAGCCCTCGAACACCAAGCCTGGAACTTCACTCGAGACCGTGAACCCCAAGATCGCCCAGTTGAACCGAAAACTCCTGGAGCCCTAAACCCCTACTTTAGGGTTTAGGGTTTAGGGTTTTGGGTTTAGGGCTTAGGGCTTAGGGCTGAGGGCTTAGGGCTGAGGGCAGAGCACCAAGCCCCTGCACCAAAACCGTGAAGCCTTCAAACCTTAAGCCCTAAAACCCTGATGCCCTAAACCACCCAAGCACCTAAACCCCCTAGAGCCCAAAAACCCTAAAACCACAAAACAAGCTGAACCCGAAAACGCCATAAGCCTAAAAATCTTAGAGCCCCTCCAAAAGCCCTAATCCCTCATTAGGCTAAAAGCCCCTTCAGCCCCTGAAGAGTCTGGGTGGAGGTTAGGCTCAGAGTTCGGCCGAGGGGCACGTGGACATTATGTTGGGGTTAGGGTTTTGGTTTAGGGGCGGAGACTCTCCAGAGCTGCAGTTTAGGGTAGGGTTTCGCGCTGCAGGAAGCTTCTTGAGGTTTTCTGAGGGTTGGTAGGGCTGGCGGTCCAAGGAAGAAGCTCGAAACCTGCTTGCAACAGCCTTCCCGAAACCTGAACAGGGGAGGGTTTAGGGACCTGTTGCAAGAACCTTCCCTTACCCTCAAGTCCTGATCAGAAAACCCTGCGGTTTGGGAAGCCCCCGAGCCCCAACATGAGCCCCCAAACCCTAAACCCTAAACCCTAAACCCTAAACCCTAGACTCTAAAACCCTGAACCCTAAACTCCCTAACCCTAAACCCTAGAACCCTAAACCCCAAAACCCAAAACCCTAAACCCCAAACCCTAAAGTTGGCGAAGTCGCAAGCCCAAGACCAGCGTCTGCGCGATGTCTCCCAGGAGACCCGGCCACCATGGGCTCGCAAAGTGCTTTGCCAGCCTCAACACTTTAGGGTTTAGGGTTTAGGGTTTAGGGTTTAGGGTTTAGGGTTTAGGGTTTAGGGTTTAGGGCTGAAACCCTAAACCCTAAACCCTAAACCGCCACACCCCTCCCCGGCACTAAGGTTCTAGGGCGTGGGGGTTTAGGGTGCGCGGGTTTGGGGTTTGGGGCTTGGGCGCTGTGGGTTTCAGGGCCAAGCTGTTCGCGCGCCAGGTGCATTACAGGGAACAGCACAGCGAGTTGCAAAGTCGCCAGCGTCCACAGTAGGTCGCACCCTATGAGTTGACCAGCCAGGTATCCTGGTTTCGCCGTGCTGGGAGGGTCAGTTGGTGGTTTGACCCCTTAACCCTAAACCCTAAACCCTTAACCCGAAACCCTAAACCCCAAACCCAACCCAGAAAATCTTTACACCTTGTGGTATACCCTTTGATTGACTGAATGAGTGTGCAGGGTGACCTTTCAGGGCTTAACTCAACCTAGAAAAAGCCAATATACCTCGTGATGCAGCCTTTGATAGACTGAGTCATTGTACAGGGTGACCCTTGAAGGCTATCCATGATAAAAAAAAGCCCCCATAAGCCGAAGAACTGCCACAAAAAACCTAAACATCCCCAGTCCAGGTTCTGAAAAGGGCCTTTCTGATGGACTTTCTTTGCCTGGTCCATGGGTTCCCGCCGAATAAACAATATGGGCTTGGGATGGTCTAGGGTTGAAGATCGTTCCTTGCTGTTAAGCTCCTGAAACTAGACACCAACGAGGATGTCCATAACTACCATGCTGGTGGTTTGTGCAGACACCAGATGCCAGATATGAGAATATCCTGAGCCCAGAGGGAAAAGCGCTCCCGGTTTCGGGCTTAGAGTTCCTGAAGCCGGTCCTAAACCCGAAACCCCCAAACCCTAAACCCTAAACCCAAGGTCCGAATCCTAGAAGGCCCGAGTAATTCAAGCCCCATGCAGCGCACGACTGGGCTCAGTCTCGTTCTCAGAAGGACCCTAAACCCTAGCCCTAAACCCTAAACCCTAAACTCTAATCCCTAGACCCTAAACCCTAGAAGCCCAACACCCGGGAAAGCCCTGAGACGTCTCGCAGCCCAGGGCTCGAATGAGCAGGTCGTTCGAAGCATCCGCCTGGCCCAACCGAACGGAGTGAGGTGTAGGGTTTAGGGTTTAGGGTTTAGGGTTTAGGGTTTAGGGTTTAGGGTTTAGGGTTTAGGGTTTAGGGTTTAGGGTTTAGGGTTTAGGGTTTAGGGTTTAGGGTTTAGGGTTTAGGGTTTAGGGTTTAGGGTTTAGGGTTCAGGGAGGGGTTTGCAGCATCAAAGTGTTGTTGCAGCATCAAAGTATTTTTAGGATTTAGAGTTTTGGGTTTTGGGTTTAGAGGATTCAAGGGGGGAAGGGGGTTTTCGGGCTTTAGTGAGATTCTCTTTGTCCCCAGGTTGCTCCAACACCCTGCTGGCAGGTATGAGTTGGAGACCCCCGGCCCACATCCCCAGAGGGCCCCATATCCCTTTGATCAAGAAATATACCTTACACCATTTTAAGGAGCCCTAAACCCTAAACCCTAAACCCTATATATGTTAAGGTCGAAATTGCTTTGTTAAGGGGTCGTGGGCTCTTTGGGTCTGAGCTCTCAACGCTGAAGGCTGAACATAAAGCTTGTGGAGCTTAGAGGGCTCACAATCGAGCTTCGCAGGCCTTTCTAGTTTAGGGTTTAGGGTTTAGGGTTTAGGGTTTAGGGTTTAGGGTTTAGGATTTTTGCATTCCAGCCCGAACCCTCGCCCCTTCCTCTCTCGCTCTCAGTCGAGTTGGGAGTCCCCAATTGCTTGGTAGTCCGAAGACCCATCTTACAATCAGGGTACCCCATTCTTGGGTTGGCTTTCCCTAAACCCTAAACCCTAAACCCTAAACCCTAAACCCTACACCCTAAACCCTAAACCCTAAACCCTAAACCCTAAACCCTAAACCCTAAACCCTAAACCCTAAACCCTAAACCCTAAACCCTAAACCAGAATCAAACATAGGGTAACGGGTACCACTGGGCCACTGGGCTACCAAGGTTCTGCCTTGCAATGCCCAGTTAGCAGACTTGAAAGGGCCTGTGATATTTTTTCCTAAACGACCCCCGGCTTGAGCACCCCTAAGGGAAAAGGGGGGGTTGGGGGGGGTACAGGGTTCAGGGTTCAGGGTTTAGGGTTCAGGGTTTAGGGTTCAGGGTTTAGGGTTTAGGGTTTAGGGTTTAGGGCCTTGTACATTCCGAGCCAGATGTCCATGCTCATGGCCACCGGCCCGGCCACTGCGACGAGGAGGTAGCCCGTCGGAACCTGAGGCGCGCATGGAGACATCCGAAGCCCCCATGGACAGAAAAACACCATCGCACCTCTGAGGCCATCTTTAAAGGGGTTTAGGGTTTAGGGTTTGGGGTTTGGGGTTTAGGGTTTAGGGTTTAGGGTTTAGGGTTTGGGGTTTAGGGTTTAGGGTGTAGGGTTTAGGGTCTAGGGTTTAGGGTCTAGGGTTTAGGGTTTAGGGTTTGGGGTTTAGGGAAGTATACGTAAACGGGAGGGAGGATTGGGGGGACACTCACCAGATAGCCCCATGCGGGAACAAACGCCAAGGAAATCGTGAACCCAAACAGCTCCTCATTTCTCGCACAGGCACGGCCTGAAATAGTCTTGTTTGCACACGGACAGCAACGCGCAGCCCCCCAAACCCCAACACCGACACCCTAAACTTCCCTAAGCCCCAAACCTCAAACCCTAAACCTCAAAGCCTAAACCCTAAACCCAAAACCCTAAACCCTAAACCCTAAACCCTAAACCCTAAACCCTAAACCCTAAACCCTAAACCCTAAACCCTAAACCCTACGTAAGCCTTAGCCCTCGCACTTCTTAAACGTCTTGGGACTCCGGGCCCGGGCCCCACTTTCAGCCAAGTGGCCTTCAGCAGTCTGAGCTGCTCCTGCAACGTCTGATGTAAAGACACACGCACCTGGGCGCGGTTGGGGGTGTAGGGTTTAGGGTTTAGGGTTTAGGGTTTAGGGTTTAGGGTTTAGGGTTTAGGGTTTAGGGTTTAGGGTTTAGGGTTTAGGGCTTAGGCTTGCGGGAGGCCCTGAGGGCTTAAAGGCTCAGGGGCGTAGGGCCTAGGGTGTTCGGGCTCGAGGTGTGCTAGGGTGACTTCTACTTCGGGTAAGAGGGAAGAGAGGGAAAGACGGATACGGAGCGACCCAAGCAGAACAGGGTGTAGCTTTAGATGCTATAAACATTCCAGAATTCAGAGGCTTGCATGACGGATTCTTGGGCTTACGGGGGCTTACCAGCCATGGATGGCTTTTTGGCTTGGGGTTTAGGGTTTAGGATCTAGGGTGTAGGGTGTAGGGTTTAGGGACGGTTTAGGGTTTGGGTTCAGGGTTTAGGCGACTTTTGGAGGCTTAGGGCTCAGGGGCGATTGTATGCGATTGTCGCTTAGGGGTGCGAGCCTAAACTCTGGACCCCACAGGCTGTCATTCATGCTAAGGTGGGCCCCTGTCTTCCTAGGCGCGTGCTCCGTGAAATCGTTGGTGCTGCCAAACCAGCGCTGGATTGCCAGCTCGGCAAACTCCCGATCGAAATCCCTTTCCTCGGCGGGGTCAGCTGAAGATGACAACTTTAAAGCACAAGCATACCTCTCCACAATTAAACACAAATATTCACACACACACACACACACACACACACACACACACACACACATATTTATATATATATATATATACGTGCATACATACATACATACTTACTTACTTACTTACTTATTTACTTACATACTTACATACTTACATACTTACATACTTCCATACTTACATACGTACATACTCCGAACTGCCTTGGGCTTTAGAGCCTTGGGGCTCCAAGGGCTGCTAGAACTCACAACATGAACGTGTACGTATCATATGTGTATGTATATATATATACATATTATAGTAGAATGCATGTGTATATGTCTATCTACAATAGTAATATGTATATGAATATACAGATACATATACAATTTATATCTACATAAAAATATACCACATCATTAGAGCAACTCTGAAGGTTCAACCCGAAGTAGCTGCCGTGGACGGGAGACACGTCCTGGGATTCAAGCCTTGAGGACTTCGGCGACAAGGAGAAGGGCGGAAGCCGTCCTACTCGAACCCTAAATGCTGAGCCCGAAGCTACAAATCCTGTAACTGAAGAACCCGAAACCATACCCTCAAAGGCCCTAAAAACTAAACCCTACCCTAAACCCTATACCCTAAAACCCTACACCCTAAACCCCTATACGCTAACCCCTACACCCTAAACCCTATACCCTAAACCCTATACCCCCAAAACCCTAAACCCCAAACCTCAAAAGCCCTAAAGCCAAGGCTCACATTGCAGTGAGTCGAAGCTAAAGCTGCGCAGTTTGCCGACCGCGTCCTCAACATGGGGGGGGGGGGGGGAGCTTCATCTGCCACAGCTTAAGGGTTTAGGGTTTAGGGCTTAGGGCTTCAGGTTTAGGGTTTAGGGTTTAGGGTTTAGGGTTTAGGGCTTAGGGTTTAGGGTTTAGGGTTCAGGGTTTGCGGCCCAGGGTTTGAGGGTGCCAGGGCTCAGGGCGGTGGATCCTTTTGGGGCGACACAAAGGCCCATAAATCCAGAGCAGCCTCATGGACCCTAAACCCTAAACCCGAAACCCTAAACGGAGCCCCAAGATCTCCTAAAAAACACCGGTTTCGGCAGCTTGCGGACTTCAACTTCCAGTTCCCAGGCAACCCTAAGCCCTAAACCCTCTAGGCGTCTAAGCGCTAAAATTTCCTAAACCCTAAACCGTCTTAGCCCTCAACCCTCAACCCTAAACCCTGAACCCAAAACCCGAAACCCAGAACCACTCAACCCCTTAAACTAAACCCTCTCCGGCCTAAACCCTCTCCGCCCCTCTTGGCGCGTCCTCCATCTCAACGCATCTTCTGCGCAAGAGATGATGGAGCAACCTGAATTTCTGGTCCATTGGGGGTTTCGGGTTTGGGGTTTAGGGCTTGCTGGTTAAGGGTTCTGGGGTGCAGTGCGCTGAGGGGCATGCGTTGCTTTAGGAAGCATCTCGAAAACGCACCCTTCTGTAGAGCTTAGGGTTTAGAGCTTAGGGTTTAGGGCTGAGAGTTTCGGGTTTCAGGCTTGGGCTATGGTCTAGGGTTTGGGGTTGAGAGCTGTTTTATTTTTCTTTTGAGATTTCGAGTTTCGGGTTGGGGCTTGGAGGTTTAGGGCTTTACTGGCTGGTTCTTACTAGGGGGTATATAATCCCTTACAAGGTATATATTGTGCCCGAATTCATTCCCTACTAAGAGCCAGGCGGGCTTAGGGTGGGTGGGTCGGCTTTAGGCCTGAGGGATGAGGGCCTCCGCCCCTTCTTTTAAGGGGCGCTTCGGCGATTTGAGGGGTTGAGGCTTGAGAGGGCCTTCAGGTTGAAAGTGCCGGTTTAGGGTTTAGGGTTTAGGGTTTAGGGTTTAGGGCTTAGGGCTTAGGGCTTAGAGTTTGGGGTTTAGGTTTCCAAGGGAGCTTCCTTGGGGTTTGAAGGGGTTGAATCGAAGTAAACCCAGACCACGGCCATGTAAGGACAGGCCCAGCACAAAAATGCCAGATGTTAGCTGGGCAGCAGGCAAGGAAGCAGACGCAGTAGCGGCAAGACAGTGGCGATCGCCGCATCCGCGAAGGCGACGGAGATCCAGGAAATCCAGGCCTAGGCACTCGGGTTCTCAAGCGACTAAGAACCGCCCTTAGAAGGGACCTTAGGGGTTATTTAGGGGCTACTTCAGAAAAAGGGACTATCTAAGGCAAGATTAAGGGTACCTTCTATTCGAGCGTCAGGCTGTAGTAAAGGCAGTGGGACATTGAGGGCCCAATTGAGAGTTAGGGTTCTACAAGTTCACTCTTGGCTTAGGGAAGATTCCAAAGCCGCTGTGTTACAACGTTGAACGTGAACATGTCAGTCTCCTATACCCTAGATGAACTCCCAGCCCTAAGCCCTAAGCCCTCAGCCCTGGGCCCTAAACCCTAAACCCTAAACCCTAATTCCTAACTTCTTCAAGATCTCGGGGCTGAGTTTTTGGGGTGCCATGAAGGACATGCGCCCACTGACGGCCCCATCATGGTCATACTAGCTCTTGAGGTTAAACCCTAGACGCTAAACACTTCCTTGGCTTCGGGCTTGGGGTTTAGGGCTTAGGGCTTAGGGTGTAGGGTTTAGGGTTTAGGGTTCATGAGCCTAAGATTCCACAAGGCAAGGACCTCACACCCCCATTTCGCACTCCGACCCAAGAGCCATAGACAAATCTTAGGGTTTAGGGTTTAGGGTTTAGGGTTTAGGGTTTAGGGTTTAGGGTTTAGGGTTACCAAGAGCCCCCAAGCTCCGGAAACGGCTCACGCGCCCCTCAAAGCCTTCGCAGACGCAGGGCAATGTTGTAGGTCCTGTGAGGTCCACGCAGGTGCTCCAAACTCTAATCCCAAGCCCTACACACCCTACATACCATAGAAAAGCTACACACCCCGTAAGCCCTTGCAAGCCCTATAGCCCTATGAATCCTACAAACTCTGACAAGTACCCTACAAGCCCTATGTAAACCCTATGAGCCTTATAAGCCCTTCTAAATCCCTCATAAACCCTTACAAAAACCATATCAAACCCTTGTAAACCCTTATATGAAACCTTCTAAGCCCTTGTCAAACCCTTATAAACCCTTGCAAAACCCTTCTAAGACCCTTTATCAGCCCCCAAAAACGGCTCAGGGTCTCTCTGCAAAGAAGTCGCTGTCAGATACAGGCAGACCATGAAGCCCAAGCTCACCAGCTCGTGGAAGAATGGCTCCAAACGCACCTCCAGCTCCCCCTAAACCCTAAACCCTAAACCCTGAACCCTAAACCCTAAACCCTCAACCCTAAACTCCGAACCCTGAACCCAACCCTAAACCCTAAACCCTGAACCCTAAACCTTAAACATTAGGGTTTTAGGGTTTAGGGTTAAGGCCTTGGGGTTTACAAAGTTGGGAGCGATTTAGGGCTCGCCCCCTAAACCCTAAATTCTAAATAGGACCTGCGGGTGTAGGGTTTAGGGTTTGGGGCTTAGGGTTTCCTCTCTTCTGTCGCAGTTCCGGTCCGTAAGGGATCAAGGCTAACAGCGGGCCTCCAAAATCCAAAACTCTAAAAACCCCCAGGCACAAACTCTTAGGGTAGATACATGGTTCCGTTGTATGGTCCATTACCTTCTTGGCAAGCTTCTGATGTATGGGCTTTTAGGTGGTATGGGGTATATAAGGGGGCATGTAAGGGGTCCCCTTTTAAGGACCCATACTAAGGGTCCATGCATCTACCCTAAGACAAACCCTAAACCCTAAACCCTATGAGCGCAAAGGTCTGGTTGTGCTTATTATCGGAGTGTCTAGCTTTTGGGCTTGGGCTTTTACCTTTAGGGCTTAAGGGGTTTGGGGTTGGGGATGAGAGGGTTAGAGGGTAACTCGTAGGCCGATAGACCACAAAAGACCTTCAGAAGCTGTCCTTGAGGACTACACCTCGACATTCTTAGGGGTAGTTACATGGTCCCTTAGTATGGACCCTTAGAAGGGGCCCTACTGCCCTCATGTAGGGGCTTGGATAGGTTTTATGGGGTTTTGGGGGCTATTATAGTATAATAACAGAGGGACCCTAAGGGAATGTTATTAGTAATTATTCAACCCCTATATTAAACCCCTAAAGACTCCTAAAGCCTGAACCCCTAAACCCCCCCGAATGCCCGAAAAAGTTGCCCGCATCATGCCCCCGGCCCTAAGCCACGTAGCCTGGCCGGCCGAGGCTTTTGAGAAGGTGGCGAGTTCGAAGACACACCAGAGGCGCCTCTCTCTTCTGGGGTTAGGGTTTAGGGTCTAGGGTGTGGGGTTTAGGGTTTAGGGTTTAGGGTTTCGGGTTTCGGGTTTCGGGTTTCGGGTTTAGGGTTTTGGGGGCTGCGGGTCCCACAGGGCCCGAAGCCACAAAGTGAACTCCTAAAGCCCTGAAGCCTCAAATCCACAATGAAAAGCATTCGTAGACGAGATCCTCTTAAAACACAACAAGAGAAGAATAGTGAAAAGTACAGAACAACCCTCAGCCCTGAAATCGCGGCCAACAAGCCTCAACCCCCCTAAACCCTAAACCCTAAACCCTAAACCCTAAACCCTAAACCCTAAACCCCACAAGCCCCCTCCCGCCCCCAAACCCCAAACCCCAAACCCCAAACCCCAAACCCCAAACCCCAAACCCCAAACCCCAAACCCCAAACCCTAAACCCTAAACCCTAAACCCTAAACCCTAAACCCTGCGTCTCACGATATGAGGGCGTGGAGGCAGGGGCCCTTTGCACTCAGGGGCTCCTAAACCTCAAAGCCCTCAAACCCGGATCGTAACACCTCAACCACAGCAGCCGATTCGGGTTCAGGGTTTGGGGTTCGGGGTTTGGGGTTTGGGGTTTGGGGTTTAGGGTTTGGGGTTTAGGGTTTAGGGTTTGGGGTTCAGGGTTTAGGGTTTAATGTTCGGGGTTCGGGGTTTCGGGCCCCTAGGCCACACGATTCGGGTTCAAAAGTGTGGGTTTCTGGGAAATGCAGGACGCCACAGTATCACCCTCCAACCTCGACCCCACATGCTCCAAAGAAAGCCGGGCAAAGTCCTAAACCCCAAGCTCTAAACCCTATCCCTGGTTCCAAGGGGCTGAAAGTATGGCCCACTCCAGAGCACGCAAAAGTCCTCCGAAAGCGTGGCAAAATCGTTAAAGTTGTTCTTCAAGAGCGAAAAACCAGTTAATGATATAGGGAGCCTAAAGCCCTAAAACCTAAACGCTAAATGCTAAACCCTGAACCGTAAACCTCGCACCCTCAACCCATTCTATTCTGTTCCGCGGCCATGGCAGGACCAGGTTCCCAAAATAGTCCCTTTTTGGGGGCCCTGTTTGTATGAGTATATCCGAGGTACCCAGGATGGGGGGCCGTCATGTGCAGAACTGACCCAATGAGTTCAGGGCTTTAGGCTTTTGGCACATGTTGTTGAGGCCATCTTACCCTACACCCTAAACCCTAAACCCTAACCGCAAACCCTAAACCCTAAAACCTAAACCCTGAGCCCTAAACCCTAAACCCTAAAACCTAAATGCCACTGCTATGCCCGTGTATGCGGATGCAGTTCTCACAGTTTGAAGGACCCATCTTAGGCAACATCGTCCCCTGCCTCTTTCTCCTAGCTTGCGGCCTTCCCATATACCCTCTATGCCCTGATCCCACGTAAGGTCACACCAGGGAAACCCTTTTCAAAAAAAACGCACTCGAAAGCCTAAACTCTCTGTCACCAAGAACTCCTTGCTCACTGAGAGGATGCCCCCCACTCCATAGGCCGCACGCTCTCGCATGGCCTCACTTGCGTAGTTGATGCCTCGCGGATCATGGCAAACTCAGCCGAAAGTTTCGAAGAAAAACACGCCAGACCACTGGCTGCCAGCCCCAAACAGGGCAAGTATTCAAAACAGAACCTACCTGGGACCCTCTTCACCTGCAGTCTTACGGGGTATACCTATGGATTAAGGGGTAGTTTCTACAAAACAGACTGTAGGTAAATAGAGTCCCAGGTAGGGCAAAGACGTTCACGCCTAACTCCCAACCTCTAGCTTGCAGCCATAGACCCTAAACCCTAAACCCTAAACCCTAAACCCTAAGCCCTAAACCCTAAACCCTAAACCCTAAACCCTAACTCCCAATCAACCTAGCGCATGAAGGCAAAGCGCACGCCGCATCCATGAAGCACATGTCGGGCTGGGCACAGAGCGCCGGCATGTAGGGGCTGACCTAAGTTGCGTTCGGCTGCATTTTTGAGTTTGGGTTTAGGGTTTAAAGTTTAGGGTTTAGGGTTTAGGGTTTCGGGGCTTACATTGCAGGAGTTGTATTCTGAGTTATAGTCAGTTGCCTTGGGGGGGGGTGGGGGGGGGGCGCTATTCGTCTAGGGTGTCTCTGATGGTTTGGAAGCCATAGTGGTTCTTGGTTTTGGACTGTATCTTCGATTAAGGGCTGCGTTCTGTCCTGAGACTCGAACCCTTGAACCCTTGAACCCTAAACCCTAAAACCTAAACCCTGAACCCTCTGTTCCACCAAGTGACAAGTAGAGCAAGAACAGAAGTAACCATTGTGAAGAAGATCGTCCAAGGCCCTATTGGACAGTTAAGCTCCCAGGATTGCGAGGAGAAGGTGCCAGTCATCGGTAGCACCTCAATGCTCAATGGAGAGGGCAGGATGTGGTCACCCCTAAACCCTGAACCCTAAGCCCTACACCCTAAACCCTAAACCCTAAACCCCCAGGAGCTTCAGCAGGTGTAAGACTCGCGTCTGCGTTGGCAAATCAATGGAAAAGCCTGCTTGCTAAAGCCTCAAAGCAAAAACAAATGGGGTCAGTTCAACTGATGCTTTCAAGCTCAGTCCAGGTTGTTAAGGCAGAATGCCCTCAACCTAAACCCTAAACCCTAAACCCTAAACCCTAAACCCTAAACCCTAAACCCTAAACCCTAAACCCTAAACCCTAAACACACCAAGTGACGCCTGAGAGATAGAGCATGAAGGCCAAAAGCACCCCGAGCCACCACCAAACGAAGATGTGCTGCGCACCGTTGCCTAGGTCGGAGACTCTGGGTTGCCAAAGGGGTTTAGGGTTTAGGGTTTAGAGCTTAGGGCTTAGGGTTTAGGGTTTAGGGTTTAGGGTTTAGGGCTTAGGGTTTAGGGCTTAGGGTTTAGGGTTTAGGGTTTAACATGTGCATATAAGTAGTCGAGCGTAACCAGCTGTCGGGCACAAGGTTGGAGCTGTCGGGGCTTGGTAAGAGAGGGAGAGAGACAGACAGACAGACAGACAGACAGACAAAGAGAAACAAAGTGCAGGAGAGGCCTCTGCGATATCAGGATATATCAGGAATCGGAAGAACGGTGAAGATGCCCGACGCACAAAGCACAAGGGCATACTGCTGAGACAAGTCCCAGGTACGGAAGAGCAGCGAAACTACCTTCCACCTCCCATCTGTCTTCCAAGTGTGGGACAAGCACCTGGGCCGAGGACTTCCTTGTTGGTTCGTAGGGAATGGGGGCAATCAGGTACCATATATCCCCTAGATACCCCCATAAGTCCCTTAAGGATTCTTAAAAGATATGTACAGTCATGATCATTATCTCCTATATACCCTTCAAGGGATGTAAGAAGAAATACAGAAATGATTCGAGTACATCCCTCTCCAAGCCAAGCTTCGGATCGAGGTTTCAGTTGATGCGCTGTTTAGGGTTTAGGGTTTAGGGTTTAGGGTTTAGGGTTTAGGGTTTAGGGTTTAGGGTTTAGGGTTGTCCTCATTACAAAGCCTGCGGTGTCGGTGTCATGCTATCATGCTTTCTCGCACCTGCGATCGAAGATCTTCAGAAGCCTCCAGCCACGAAGCCTCCCACTCCGACCAAAACACCTTATCCCGAGATGGTAGCTTCTCTAAGTGAAGGCTCCTGCTTGGGCCCCTAAGATGATGGCGACCCTAAACCCTAAACCCTAAACCCTAAACCCTAAACCCTAAACCCTAAACCCTAAACCCTGCTTGGGGCTGCTTGGGCCCCTAAGATGATGGCGACCACAAAGGAACCATGTTTTGGATCTAGCTGGATACACTGAGAAGCTTCACAACGTCAAACTGACCTTGGACTCTTGGACTGTCTCAAGGGCGTTATTGCAGTTGGGCTTTGGGTTTAGGGTTTAGGGTTTAGGGTTTAGTGTTTAGGGTTAAGGTTTAGGGCTTAGGGTTTAGGGTTTAAGGTTTACGCGAAGGCCTGAAACACTGTGCAACCGCATCCAAGTGCTACATCAGCACAGAAGCCTCTACCTCAATCCCCCTTCCATCCACCCTCCCCCTCCCCCCCTCCCCCCCCCCCGGAGCTGATGGTTTAGGCGGGTATTTTAGGCCTTCGGGTGAACTGCAGCCATGTGCGCATGTCTATACGGTCTACAAGCTTTGACCTGTTCCACGAGGCTGCATTGTTTCGGTCCTCGCGAGCTGACGGCTTCTGATGCAGGTGTTAGGAGCGAGGGTTTAGGGTTACGAGGTTTGCTGAATACTACAGCTCATGCCAAGGAAAAAACCTTGAAACTGTACGTTATCAACGCCCAATTCCAAGGCTCTCATTGTTGGAGGCCTTTTGGGCGCATAGGGGGGGGGGGGGTAAGTTCTGGCCTGGGAAGTTGCACGCTCTCATGCTTCATCACCAGACATGAAATGTCGGGGTTTTAGGGCTTAGGGTTCAGAGTTTAGGGCATAGTGTTGCAGCATTGCTAAACCCTAAACCCTAAACCGTAAACCCTAAACCCTAAACCCTAAACCCTAAACCCTAAACCCTAAACCCTTCGGAATGGGGCCCAACTCGATGCCAGCTCTCTGGAACCTGTTCTGAGGTTCAGTGCGCCAAGGAGCCATCACGAAGCGCACAGGCTACTGAATGATCATTGTCTCTGCATGATCCTAAACCCTAAACCCTAAACCCTAAACTAAACCCTAAACCCTAGACCGAATGTTCTGGGCAAATTCTCAGATGGTACCTACAAGCGGACAAACCCAAGGCCCCAGACCGGCGAGAAGCCTGACATCCCCAGCTAAGTGCTACGTAGATCCTACACGCTAAAACCCTGACAAACCCTTTTCTAACCCCTAGAATCCCTTAAAAACCTGCATAATAAACCCTTATAAACCCGAAACCCTCAGCCCTTGACCGTAATAGCTCCCAGGGACTTTGGGGTTCAGAGTCTAATTCAGGGGCGATTTGGTTCAAGGTCTAAGGCTGGGGTTTAGGGTTTAGGGTTTAGGGTTTCGGGTTTGGGGTTTAGGGCTTGGGGTTTAGGGTTTAGGGTTTTGATGACTAGGCTTTAGGGCTTAGAGTTCGGGGTATGCATTCAAAGCCCACAAGCCTTCAAAGAATACTGTAAGTTCTCGGGTTTCTGGAAAGCAAGCCCGGTTCTGAAAGTAGGGTTAGGCCCGAAACCCTAAACCCCAAACAGCAAACCCTGAACTCTAACCCTAAACCCTAAACCCTAACCCTAAACCCTAAACCCTAAACCCTGAACCCTAAACCCTAAACCCTAAACCCTAAACCCTAAATCCTAAATCCTAAAACCCTAAACCCTAAAACCCTCTCCTCCCTCTCAAGGGGATGCCGCCACCACATCCAGCCAGCTCCCCGAAGACTGCGCCGCAGCGAGATGCCTTGGCTTTAGGGTTTAGGGTTTAGGGTTTAGGGTTTAGGGTTTGGGGTTTAGGGTTTAGGGTTTAGGGTTTAGGGTTTAGGGTTTGGGGTTTAGGGTTTGGGGTTTAGGGTTTAGGGTTTAGGGTTTAGGGTTTGGGGTTAGGGTTTAGGGTTTAGGGTTTAGGGTTCAACCTGCCGGCCGGCACACTCTCTTTGCGGGTTACGATATTCGGGGTGTTAGGGGTATTAGGGGTTTAGGGTTTAGGGGTACCTTGTTGGGGTGCTTATTTTAAGGGGATCCTACTATTTGGGGGCATTTGGGGGTCAGATTTGGGACCCCTACGCCCTAAACCCTAAACGCCCGACCCTCAATCCTAACCCCGACCGTTTAGAACATGGGAGTCGAACCTCGGTCGACCTCTTCAGGCCCCATGTGGTGCCCCCTCTCCCCGCAGCCAAAAAAGCAAGCAGCCGCCGGGACGTATCTTCGACCCTGAGCCGTCAACTCACAGCTTAACCCTGAGCCCGGTTTTTGGGTATAGGGTCCTAGCCCTAAACCCTAAACCCTAAAGCCCTAACCCCAAAACCTAAACCTTAAACCCCCAAAACCATTGAACCAGGAAGCCTCGGAGGACAGAGGTGTCCAGGCCAAGAACATCCCGCTTCTGTAGCCTGCTCTGGTTTACGGGTTTACGGGTTAGGGTTTAGGGTTTAGGGTTTTAGGGTTTAGGGTTTTAGGTTTTAGGGTTTTAGGGTTTTAGGGTTTTAGGGTTTTAGGGTTTTAGGGTTTTAGGGTTTTAGGGTTTTAGGGTTTTAGGGTTTTAGGGTTTTAGGGTTTTAGGGTTTTTTTCTTGGGGTTTTAGGGTTTTAGGGTTTAGGGTTTAGGTTTAGGTGTTGTTTAGGGTTTAGGGTTTAGGGTTTAGGGTTTAGGGTTTAGGGTTTAGGGTTTAGGGTTTAGGGTTTAGGGTTTAGGGTTTAGGGTTTAGGGTTTTAGGGTTTAGGGTTTTAGGGTTTAGGGTTTAGGGTTCAGGGTTTAGGGTTTAGGGATGTTTAGAGTTCACAGTTAGGGCTTACAGAGTTCGGGGTCTCTTGCTAGGCTTCCGTGGGGCACACACTTAGCCCCAATACCCCATATTGCATGGTGATTGTATCTGCGTGTGTATATATACATATACATAAACTCAATCCTAAACCCTAAATCGGGAACCCCTGACAGCTGGCTCTATCCGTACATTCCCAACTATTGGGATAGTGAAGGCCCTAGAAACTTAACCTTTCTAGGGCGGGTAAAGGGTGAAGGTTTGGGGGATAGACGCTACAGGTCTATTTCCGGCCTGGTTTAGGGTTTGGGGTTTAGGGTTTAGGGTTTAGGGTTTAGGGTTTAGGATATAGGGCGCATGGCTTAGGGTTGAAACCATGGACTGGTCTGGACCCGGAAGCCGGCGCCGAACCCATGACACTCCAAAGCCCTAGTGCCCTAAAACCCTAATTAATAGCCCTAAAGCCCTAGAACCCTAAAGCCCCAAAACCCAAAAACCCTGAAGCCCTGGAACCCTAATGACCCTAAAGCCCTAAAGCCCCAAAACCCAAAAACCCAAAAACCCTAAAGCCCTAGAACCCTAATGACCCTAAAGCCCTAAAACCCTAAAACCCCAAACCCAAAAACGCTAAAGCCCTAGAACCCTGATGACACTAAAGCCCTAAAACCCAACAACCCAAAAGCCACAAAACCCTAAGAACCCTAAAGCCCTAAAACCCTAGACCCTAAACCCTAAACCCTGAAACGCTAAACCCCAAACCGCAACCCTACAACGCATGGTTGGCGCAGACGCCTCACGGCGAGGGATTCCGAGATCTTCGGAAGCGGGAGGATCCTCGGGTCGAAAGGCTTAGGGTTTTAGGGTTTAGGGTTTAGGGTTTAGGGTTTGGGGTTTGGGGTTTAGGGTTTAGGGTTTTGGGTTTAGGGATTGGGGTTTAGGGTGTGGGGTTTGGGGTTTAGGGTTTCGGGTTTAGGGTTCAGGGCTTAGGGTTTAGGGTTTGGGGTTTAGGGTTTAGGGCTTGGGGTTTAGGGTTTAGTAGGGTTTGGGTTTGGGGTTTAGGGTTCAGGGCTTGGGGTTTGGGGTTTGGGGTTTGGGGTTTGGGGTTTGGGGTTTGGGGTTTCGGGCTTAGGGGGCTTAAGGGTTCAGGATTCGATGTTAGAGGCTTCGGGTTCTAGGGTTCCAGGGTTCCAGGGGTCCAGGGTTTCAGGGGTCCGGGGGTTCCGGGGTTCTGGGGTGGTTCTAGGGTTTAGGGTTTAGGGTTTAGGGTTTAGGGTTTAGGGTTTAGGGTTTAGGGTTTAGGGTTTAGGGTTTAGGGTTTAGGGTTTAGGGTTTAGGGTTAGGGTGTAGGGCAGGCTTTATATAGAAACTCTACCGGGGCTAGGTCGGATTTACTTCACAACCATCTTTCGCTTCCCCACACCCCCCCGCCCCCACCCTCCCCCACTGGCAATAGCTTCACAGTTCTTCAGGGCATTTAGGGGGCAAACCCTAAACCCTAAACCCTAAACCCTAAAACCCTTAAACCCTTAAACCCTTAAACCCTTAAACCCTTAAACCCTAAACCCTAAAACCCCAAACCCTACACCCTATTCTTTAGGGCATTTAGGGGCAGAGTCGAAGGACGAAGCCAGGGAACCGAAGCGAGCTAGCCCCCAGTGTGATTTTTAAGTTTGGGCTTGGCCTTTGCGAGTTCGGGCTTTTGTTGTTTTTTGTGCAAACCTAAACCCTAAACTGCTATAAGCCCTGAACCCTAAACCCTAAAAGCTGGATTAGTTGAGGTTTCAAGGGCATGGGCAG